CAGACCTCTCTCTTCCTCAGAGCATCCTTCTATGCACAGGAGTCACTCAATAAATAGTCATTACATGAATCTGTGATCCAGAAAAAAAAATCAAATCTAAACAGAAAAGTTTGGAAATTGAACCATTTTGTACTTGGGTACCACACCAACCACCTGTAGAAGACAAAGCCATTTCTAAGAGACAGAGACCCAAATTCTAATTTCTCTTCTACAGTGGCTGTACTGTATGACCTAGGACATGTAACTTTATTTCTCTGACCCTCAGTTTCCCCATTTGTAAAATGAGTATAATACCACTAACTTTGCCTGCCTGCCATAAAGGTAATCAGAAGACTCAAGTGAATCTGTTTTGATATTTATTTCTTCCCACTTTTGTCTCCAAACTTTTTTAATCAAGTACCCCTACCAATAATTTTTTTCCTGGTTTATATGAGTGGGGAGAGGACAGCTTTTCCCAATAGCTTCTGCCCAGCTGCTACTATGGGTGCCTGGATTGGGATTAGGTTATAACTGTCCTGTGGGACTGATGCCCAGATTCACATGGGAGGAGTTTGGAAGCTTGCATAACTGTGGGAGAAGGTGAATGGAGGAGTGCTGGGCTGTAACAGATAAAGGGTAGGCATGGGTATGATGGAGACAAGCCCCCAATTGACTGTGGTGGGGAGGATGAGATATGACTCATCTTCCCAACTTTTGAGTGGTTAATCAATCCCATATTCTTTGGGGGCAGGAAGAATCAAACCAAAGCCTTCTTAGGCTCATAACATGGCACCCACTTTGGAGACTACTGGGCTAGACTATGACAACAGCCTCCTAACTGATTTTCCAGCCTCATCTAACCCTTCTCCATCCCACCTCATCTATGTGCTGCCTAAGTATCCTTCCTAAACTGCTGCTATGATCACGTGATACCTCAACTCAAAAATCCCCACTTTTTATTAAATAAAGTATCTACTACTAACCCTGGCATTCAAGGTCCTTCACAATCGGGTACCAACTCATCTCCAGCTTCATTCCCTTCCTCCTTACCCATCCTTCATGATCAAAAACAAAAATAAAACAACTGCGTGCTATTCTGCACTTTCCAATCTCATCCTGCCATCTCCTCTTTCATCTCTGCTCCCGGTCACACATCCCCTGTCCCTGGAAATCCCCTCCCTCTTCCACCCCCATCTGTTGAAATCCTTTCTTTTTCTTTCATTTATTTTTTTCTCTGGTTTGTAAAATTTCTAATGTAGAAACCATCTCTGCCCCAACAGATTAATACCTATTCTTCGACTTAAGAGTTTTACCTGGGAGAATTGAGAAGTTAATAACTCAATCAATCAACAATCATTTATTAGACACTTACGATATATCCAGGGCTAGTGGGAATCCAAAGAAAACATGATTTCCTCCTAGTCACACAACCACTCTGTGTCAGAGGGGGGACTTAATCTTAGGTATTCTAGAATCCAAGGCCAGCTCTCTAGCCAGGCCCTTTCATTTCTTCCAAGCCCAACCCACCTGTCTTTTCTTCCAGAAAGCCTTCCCTGGCAGTCCCCTCCCTTCCCCATAATAAAAATGATCACTGTTTCTTTCCTTATTTTGCTGCCAAAGCACATAGGAAGACCATGAGCTTTTAGGAGATCATTCCTCCTCTTTTCTACTTATATCACTCTTTTATGTATTACACGTATCTGTATATTTGTTCTCCCCCCCTCCTACTTTCTCATTATAAGATCCATGAGTCTAGAGGTCTAACCCTGCAATTTTACAGATGAGGAAACTGAGGCCCAGGGAAGTTAAGTAGAAGAGAGTCAGGATCTGAACACAGATCCTGTGAGTCCAAGTTCAGCTTTCTTTCTAGTGTCCCTAGACTGTAAACTCCTTGAGGGCAGGATTTAGGTTGTCTCTGCCTTCACATCCTTAGCACTAGCACAGTACAGGATAGGTACAAGAGCAGGCAAAGGCGGGGCCGCTAGGTGGCACAGTGGGTAGAGAACTGGCCCTGGAGTCAGGAGAACCTGAATTCAAATATGGCCTCAGACACTTACTAGCTGTGTGACCCTAGGCAAGTCACTTAACCCCAATTGCCTTAAAAAAAAAAAAAAAAAGGAACTGGCAAAGGCTCCATGACCTTGGTGTGATACACTGGAAAAAGCAGGAGCTCTGGAGTGGAAAGGACCTAGGTTCAAATCTCGGGAACTCGGACACTTAACTGCCAGTTTGATCTTATGCAAGTTACATAATCCCCCTTGGGTACAGGGTGAGCTAAATGGCCTCTTAAAGAGCCCTTCCGGGTCTAGATCTGTGCCAGGCAACCCCCTTGACCAATGCAAATGGCAATCTATGACTTGGAAGGGAAGCCTTAGGAGTTAGGAACAGAGAGGCTAGGAATCTGCCCAAGATCACACAGTTAAAAGTGTCACCAGCATGGCCTCCCTGACTCTTTTAGCTATAACACACTGCCAGTGACATGTAACAGGTACTCAATAAATGTTTATTCTGCTGAATTGTTTGCTGAACAAGACGTATGAAGTGCTCTACAAATTTCAAGTATGGTGATAATTACCATGGATCCCAAAGTGAAAGAAAAAACTGACTGGGAACAGTCAGCATGGTATAGTGGAGAGAGTACAGGAGTTGGAGTCAGTCATCAGGACCTGAGTTCCAGCCCCATCCCTGGCACTTACTAGCTGTGAGACCCTAGACCAGTCATTTAACCTTAAGAAACTTCAGTTTTCCTACCAGTAAAATGAAGAAGCCCCAGCCCGCCCTAAATCCTATGACTAGTTTCCATCCCCCTTCCCTCAGGATATTGCCCAGAAGCAATGCCCAGAAGGATTCCTGTGTTTCCACTAAGAGCTTGGGCTCATTCATTCAAGGTGCAGTCCAGGTCCTGGGATAGGAGCAAAGGAAAAGAGCACCTTCACCTGAGCTACATTAGTTGAGCTGCACCTCTGGAGAGGGGTCATCAGCCTTTAGAACTTCCCACCCGGCAGCTGCACCACACTTCAACTCTCCAAAATTACACAAAGACCTACAATCATAGGATATAAGGCTTAAAGGGACCGTGGAAATCATCTCATTTTACAGGAGAGAAAACTGAGGTCCAGAGAAGGGAAATGCCTTGGCCAGGCTCAGTAGAGCCAGATTTTGAACCCTGGTCTTGTCTATAGATCCAGAGCCCTTTCCACTATCCCACAAAAGTTGAGCTCCCACATCCAAGCCCAAAAATCCCCATCTCTCGCACACACAGGTAAAGGAAACTACATAGAAACCACAACTTTATTTGTAAATATTCCCGTCAAATAAGAGCCAGGAGAAATAGCGGATGGAGCTAAAGCTGAAAAATGTCATCTGGAACAGGGGTTCTTAATTTAGGGTCCATTAATTTGAGTGGGGAAAAATTACATCTTTATTTCCATAATAATTCATTTCCATTGTAATACCATGTGATTTATGTTATGCATTTTTTTTAAATGATCCTAAGAAGGGACCCATAGGCTTCACCAGACTGCCCAAGAGGTCCAGGACACAAAGTTGAGACACCCTGTTCTAATCCAACCTCCCGATTTTACAGGGAAGTAAATGAAGGTTCAAAGAAAAGAAATGATTTTTCCCAAGGTCACTCAACTAAAATCCAGGCCCTCCAACTCCATGTACAGGGCTGTTGCTACTATAAATTCCAGCTTCTTCAATTCTCAGCTCATTTCTGTTCCCCTCCCCAGCTTTCCTGAGGAAACCCCTATGGTGATGTCTCTGTCTAGCACTAGCTGGGTGACCTTGGAGGATTCATTCTGCCTGTGTGCCACCCCTCTAAAATAAGAGTTACAGCAGCTCCTACTCCCCCAAGCAGAGGTTCTGAGGGTCCATGAGGTGGTACCTGGTAGGTGTTTTGAGCTCCTATTTCTACAAGTGAAAGGGTTCTTCAACACCCCATCCTAAGTTTATTTTTTCTTTTCCTTAAAGTACTGACCCAAAGCAAAAATTAAAAAAAAAAATGAATGGGATTTGTCTTCTCTCCCAGGAAGGAGTAAAGTCCTGTGTCCTCAGTCCTCCACAAAGGTTCAGAAAGAAGTATCAGGAACACTAACCCTGAAGGCAGGTCTCGGTTTGTCCCTGTTCCCCCTTCCCCCCATGAGAAAACGCCAGAGGTCTCCCATGGTTACAGACTTTTGTGCCTGGGAGGAAAGAAGGAGAGGTAGGTTGCCATGGCTCCAACCCCTCTGTCTGGCATTATCACAGTATAAGCTAGGACCCCGATCATGCCCCTGAAAATAGTAAAATACCCCCCAGACCCCCAGACCCACCCTTCCTTTTTCTCATTCCCGAGGCGAAGAGCTTCAGACTGGGGCCCAGAGCCCCTCCTTTCCTGCCTCAGATCTGAAGGGGCTAGGACTGTGAGAATAGCCAGGAAGGACAATAGGAGAAGATGGTTCCCTGAATGCAGGAGAAAGGATGGGGATGGGGAGGGTCTGCCTGCCCCCAAGGGACTGAAGGGGAAGGGGGAAGGGTTCACTCCCAATCTATTTGTTTCCAGACTAGAGTCACACATCATACACATACACTACACACAGAAGAAGCACATAACCACAGATACACTCTGCACACAGACACGGGGATATACACAAACACAGATACACACGACACACATCCTGACAGGTCACCCAGGGATATAAACAGATAGCCACTACTCAGAGACATAGACACAGATACACACAGCCGTGACACGCAGCCGTGACACAAACATTAAACACACACCCAGGGTCACAGAAGCACTATCTGTACATCCCCACCCCCAGAGGCTCCCAAACACTGTGCTCACGTTCCCAGGTACACACAATACACACACTATCCACGCACGCACAGAGATAAACACTACACACAGACACTCTCAGAAACGAGTCACCCACCCAAGCACACCCCACGTCGCCGCCCAGGGCAGAACCCTATCAGCCCAGGGAGCAGGAGGGCGGGGGGAAGGGGAGCAGACAGAAGAGATGGTCCCCACTCACCCAGGTCTCGGGTGGAGGTCCCAGCTCTCGGGTTGGCTGGCTCTTTGTGGTGCGGCGGCAGGGAAGTTACAAAGGCGCCACGGTCGGAGATGGGGTTGGAGCTGGGGTTAGGGCCAGGCCAAGGGCAGCGCTCGGTGCCCATACCCGGCCGGCCCGGGCCGCGCGCGGAGCCTCCTGCTCTAGGTCTCCTCTCCTGCACCCATCGCACCAGAGCCTCCCCCAGCCCTGGGCCAGCCTTGACTAGCCCTGGCCAGCCCCGCCCTGCTTTGCGCTGTCCCTCCCGACTTGAATCCGGCCGGCTTGGATCGGATCGGCTCTCCTTTCCTCCTGCCCCAGTAACGGCTCCGGCTCTGCCGCCGCTCCGCTCTCCGGCCCCTTCCACCAGTGATCAGGGGCAGCCCGGCCCTGCTCCGGGCCCGGCTGGACCCGGAGCCCTCCCGCCCTCCCAGACTCCCCGTCCCGCCCCGCCCCGCCCCGCAGCCAATGGGAGAGCCCCCAGCTCTCCCCCCGCCTCCCACCCTCACTCCCCGCTCCGGGCCAGAGGGCTGCGGGGCGCTCTAGGTCGTGGACGCTGCTGAATGCTCCAGCTGCCGCGCTGTCCAAGGCCCCGGATAGGAAACCTCCCGGGCGCCTCCCCTTGCCCCCGCCCGCCCTCCCGGATCTCACTGCAAAGATTCGGCCCCCGAGCTGTTCCTAAACTGGGCGCCAAGTTGGGAGATGCTCGAGTAGGGATGCCTGGAGATCCTTGTTAGCCCTGCCCTGGGCCGGCCTCTGCCCCAGGCCCAGACAGTGCCACCGAGGCCAGAGCTGAGCTAAAGCTCTTTCCAGATGGAAGGCCTCAGACCTCAGAGAAGACCTAGTCTAAATCCCTCACTCTCCAAGCCTCCATCCAGCTAAAGTGCCTCCCCAAGCTCACCCAACAAGTACGGGGCAAACTGAGTTCCTTCCAGGGCCTTTCCCACCACACTATGCTCCATCACTTAACCCCTTGTAGCCAGGTCGGCGATAAAAGATCGGATGCTCTCCCTCAGCCTCCTGTTCGGAGACATTTAGATGAACTGGGAGGAGATGGGGAGGGAAGGAGTTGGGAGTTGAAGAAACCATCCTGCCTCACTTCCAGTGTCTGAACTTCATTGATATTCATATCTCCCTTCCAGCTCCAAATCTAAGGTCCTGTGACTCTGGACTCTGCTGTTGAATGGAAAAAACTCTGATTTGGTGTCGGAAGACCAGAGTTAAAATTCCATCTGTTACTTATTAACTCATGGTCACTTTTTCTTCCTGGGCCTCAGTTTCTTCCTCCATCAAATGGGGGTGGGGGGTGGAATTGAGCTAGAAGGTAGGATCAAAGATTTAAACCTAAAAGGGACCTTCATGCCATCTAGTCCCAGCCTGTACTTTTAGGGAGGAAGAAACTTTGGCCCAGGGAATTTAAGTAGATTGTCCAAGGTCACTCAGGAAGCAAGAAGAAAGACTGGAATTTGATCCCAGGTCCTCTGAATCCAAATGCAGTCCTATTTCCTCTGCACAATGCTACCTCTCATGAGCTTTGAGGTCTGTTCTAGCTTTAAATTGAATGGGATTCTGCGAGGGAAAAAAATACAGGGATTATCCCCATTTTACAGAAGAAGAAACTTAGACCTAGAGAAATGACTTGACTGTGGATTTTAATCAATACCAAAGCCAAGACTAGAACTTCCTGGAGTTCTTGACTCCCAGACCAACTACTTTTCTAATCAACCAATCAACAAGCATTTACCAAGTGCTAACTATGTGCCGGAAGTTGCTGGATTCTGAGAATAAAAAGACAAAAACAGAACAGTTTCTGCTCTCAAGGAGCTTCCGCTCTGTTTTACTAATTACTTCTCATCCTTAGTATAAAGAGATAAAACTGTAGAAAGTGACAGCACAGCGCCTGGCGCCTATGGTACTTCAAACACACTTTTATTCGATTCATCTTGGGCAAGTCACCTAGTCTCTTTGGGCCTCAGTTTCCTCATCTGAAAAATGAGAAGGTTGGAGGAGATGATGGCCAAGGCCCCTGCCACTTCTAGATCTATGATCACAGTATCTCCAAGGCAATTCCAGCTCAAGACTCCAGTGATTCTTGACAAAGTGAAGCCCAGACGGGGAAATGAATTGCCTGAAGTCTCCCAGCTACTAAGTAGCAGACTAGGACTCCAGCCTCTCTTTGATTCTCAGTTCATCTCTCTTTCCACTGCATCAAACTTCTGTCCCACGTATTAGACCTGTCTCTTCAGTATGAACCACCCCAGGCTCTTATTCCTTCAGCTGCAAAGATTGAACCACAACACTTCCCTCTTTTCTTTGACTTCCAGCAACTTTTGCAAACAAAGGGAGTGACTACCTTAAAAAGATGAGACTTACTGACAACAGGAACTCACTCCAATCTCCAACCTCCATCCCTGCCCGGACTGTCTGTCCTCCTGCCCAGGCTGTCTGTCCTCCTGCCCAGATAGCGCTCCTTCCTCACCTTAGCGCCTTAGAGGGCTCTATCTTCCTTCAAGGCACAGCTCAGTCTGCCCATTTCTATGGATAGCCTTTCCTGAGCCCCTTATTTTGAAATTTTTAACTCTTATTCCCTTCTCCTCCTCAAATTACCATGTATAGATTTTCTCTTTCTATACTGTATTCTTCTCACACACACCACCAGTACTCTCCATAGAATACAAGACCTTTGAAGGCCAGGACTGACTGATTGACTGTATCTGGGCACTTTGCACAATCTGTTTATTTTACCATTGTTGCTGTTCTTGTTCACACCTGTGATTTTGCTGGAGAAGGAAATTCCCGTATTGGAAACCACTTACATGGATCCAGATGGGGACCTCAGCTGCTGGTGAACCTCCTCCCAAAATAACTTTGTTTTCATTTTGTAGATAGACCCTATGTACTCAAATGGATACTTGTGCCTCCCCTGTTAGAATGTAATCTCCTTGAAGGCAGTAACTATTCCCCTTTTGTCTTTGTATTCCCAGGTTAGCACAGTGACTGGTACATGATTGGTTGGTTGGTTGTGGTCCTTTGTTCTCAAAGAGGTCCAAAATGGCATCACTATACCATTTTGTCAAGTCACAACGTGTCCCACTATGGCTGATCAACCCAATACAAGCTCAGAATGCTCTACCACAGGTCGGGCACAAATGGTCCATGTGAACATTCGGGATGCATTATCCAAATTTGTGCATCTCGAATTTCTTTTGAGCTGCTTCAATTCTGCTTTGCTCATAGAGCACAGCACTTTCTCTGATGTGGGCATGCCATGCTGGACAGCCCAGTGCCAGCATCTTCCATGTAAAATAGTCAATTCCAAAGTTCCTGAGAGACCTCAAGAGTGTAAGTATTTAATAAATGCTTATAGGTTGATTTGAAATGGGGGAGGGGAGTGAGGGCACGAACTCTTTCCCTTCTGTCTTTGTATTCCCAGGTTAGCACAATGACTGGTGTGCAATAAATGTTTAATAAATGCTTGTTGGTTGATTAGTGTTGGGGGAGGGGAGCACTGAGAGGTTCACTGACTTATCTTTGGTCACATACTTGGTATGTGTCACAGGCAGGATTTAATCAAAGGCTTTCTTTCTCCATGGGCAGCTCGCCTATAATTCTTCTATGCCCCTTAGGCATGATAGATGTTTAATGAATCCTGGGTGGATTGAATTAAATCCACATGGTTAAGAGGATTTTAATTCACTTACCAATCACTCAATTAACAAGCATTTGTTGAATGTTTCCTATGTGTCAGGCATTAGGTGGTAAATGGCAGAAACCAGACCTACCTTCAAGGAGCTTGGGGGAGACCACACATTGCAAACATCAGTACATATAAGAAAAATACAGAGTAAATGGAAGGTAGCCTGATAAGGAAAGGGAAGACCTCCTGGAGGAGGTGACTTATAAATGAATTCTTAAAGGAAGGCAAAAATGTTAACATTTGGGAGTTAGAGGAGAGAGTATTTTAGGTGTCGGGGGAGGACAACTGCACAGTCATGGAGATGTAAGATGGACCACAGAGGGGCAGGAACGAGTGGGCTAGTAGTACTGTAATGTAGAGTGTATTGAGGGGAGTAATGTTTATTAAAGCACCAGAAAGGGAAGAAGGGGGCAGGGGGCAAAGAGATTTTAATTCCAAACAGAGGAGTTGATGCAATACTTGATCCTAGGGATGATAGGGAGCCACTGGAATTTATTGAGTAGTGAGGTGACATGGACCTGTTCTTTAGAAAACTCACTTTGGTGGCTGTGGAGGGTGGATTGGAGAGAGAGCCTTGACAAAAGGAGACCAGGGGCAGCTAGGTGGCGCAGTGGATAGCACCTGAGGACCTGAGTTCAAATCCACAGTCAGACACTTGACACTAGCTGTGTGATCCTGGGTGTGTCACTTAACTCCGATCGCCTGAGCAAAAAGCAAAATAAATAAATAAATATTTTTTTAAAAACTAGGGAGACCAATTAGAAGTCTACCTCAGTAGTCCAGGAGAGGGGCCATGAGAGGTTTTTTGGTTTTGTATTTTTGGAGGCAATTGGGGTTAAGTGACTTGCCCAGGGTCACACAGCTAGTAAGTGTCTGAAGCCCCATTTGAATTCAGGTCCTCCTGACTGTAGTGTTGGTGCTCTGCTCTTTGCACCGCCTAGCTGTCCTGCCTTGAGAGTTTGAACTAAGATGGTGGCTATGTGAGTGGGGAGAAGTGGAAGGAAATATGTGAGAGATGTTACAGAGAAAGAAATCTCAAGATTTGGAAACTGATTCAGTGTATGAGGTGAGTGAGAGAAGTTGAGGAAGGCAATGATGTTTGAACCTTAGGTGGCTGGAAAGGTAGAAGCTCAGATGAATGGGTTTGGGAGACTTGACTTTGCAACAGGCTGATTGTTTCCAGTTAATATCCTAGCTTCTAGCCCCAAGGTCGAGAAGCTTCCAGCCCCTCTCTTCTCTGTTCTAGAAAGAGAAATGCTTTTGCCTCTGGGCGTCTATCATTATGATCACTAATTGTGGTAATCATCATTACTCTCAGCAAAAGGGTTCATTCTTATCAACAATTCCTTCTTAATTGATGGTAATGATAATAATAATATCTTTCAAGTCACTTTCCTGCTGGCAGTCTCCCTATCCTCATCTGCAAAATGGGAATTCT